TATATATATATATATCGTTTGGGTTTAAAGAGACAGCGACACATCTCAGAAAAGGGCTGAAAGAGGTGCATTGGAGTTATTGTAAGGAGGAATTCCGACCAAAGCATTGCAGTTTCACTTTATACATGCCCCAACTGAATGATTTCAATTTGAAAACAAAAAAGGATAACAGTAAAAGCATGTTTCTTTTAAAAATATGGCAATTTTATACCTGTTTGCTCAGGTTAATATAGTAGGAACACTGGCAAAACAACAAATTTAAATGCAAAACAAAGGCAGGTAAACACTTTAATTACTGTTCGCTTAAAATTTAAAAGATCTGTAGCACATTCACTCTGCTCAGTTTGCTAATATACAAGGCTAGAGTGAGCCATCAGTGTTTGTTTAGTCAGTATGAAACAAGATGAAGAAGATCCTGCTCCCTCACAGACCTTACACCAGCACCTGTTTACACCAGAGAGCTATTTGTGGCAAGAGTTGAGGCTAAAAGGAGTGGTAAGGTTTCCACTTTTATGGATCAAAAAAAGGTACAAACACACAAAAAAATGATGCAAGAAAAGATGTAAACCTAAATCCTCTCTTTGCGTTTGTTGCTTAAGAGGAGTTCCTACTCTCAGGGGAGAGGCAAACAAAAAAGCAAGTGTATGTTTAGTCAGCAATCCTGGCCTACTCAGTTTGCAATTCTACAGATAGTATAGAACAGACCTCACAAGTAGACAATGACAGACATGTAAAGAATTTTTATGAAACAGAATGCATCAAATTTGGTTAAAAATGGAAAGAGAAACACATTTTTTTTCTAACTGGGAAAGGCTGAAGAAGCGTTCATAAAATCAACATGGTTCTAATTATGCAACAAACAAAAAAATCCACGTTAATTGAATGGAATGAAATGCACAAATTCTTGTGTAATGGCTAGATTGAAAACAGCTTGTTTGAAAATTCCAACAAGTGTTAGAAGATAATTACAGTTAATCATTAGAGTTATCACACAGACTTATACTGTTAGAGCAAGAGTCAATGTATTTCCAGTAGCTATGCTTTATTTAATTTGATTTGGAGTGTTTCTTTTGCTGTAACAGTATTATTTTTTCCTAAAATGCCAATAATAGTAAAAAAAAAATACAGTAAGCAGTAAGCTACAGCAGTATTTTAAACAAACACAGCTCCTACATCCTGCTTGAATTTCACACCTTCCCTGGTCACATGTAAATAAATATTTTCTCTCATTAGGTAATGCACCAGTTATGTAGGCAGCGTATGCTATCAAACATTGACCAACTCGGGTTGATTAACAAAGTTATTTGAACTTCACAGTCATGAGAAAAACTGAAAAGTAAAAATAAAGACATTCACACAGAGGACTTGATAACACACCACAATCYCACACAACTACAATGTAACTGCTAAACAAGATTAACTTTGTTTGGGTTGGCACACTAAACAAAAGAGTGCTCCTACCTGCACCAGGAAGATGATGAGGAAGTAGAAATTGGCAATTCTTCTAAATTGTTCAAACAGGTTCTTTGGTAGAAAGTTCCAGACTGTATACTGCCAAGCACAGAAAGAAAAAAAACATGGATCAGAACCAGAGGAATAAAGCAAACATTCTAATTTGTTGTTGTAATTGAATGAGTTTGGTTACATAAATCAAATTCTGGCATGTGTTTAACCAAGTTTGGTTAAATAAAAATGTCTTTATAAGTGAGGACATGCACTTAAAACAATTATATTTATAGGTTCTTCCATATAAGTGTTGTGTCTGTGTCAGTAAGAGGAAACAAGAGGACAGGTTTAATAGAATAAAGTCTCCATTCTTTGGTCTTTCTAGGGAGAAAAACTTTGGAGGTAACAAATCTTCCACTGATTTACAGGTTTAGAAATTTTCTCATTTGTTTGGCCACTCTTCAATGCAGAAGCAATAAACCTATCAATGCGTCTTCACTTGTTTTAAGTAGCCGTGACTTCTGGAAATGTTGGGCGTGAAAAATAARCACATTTATTTGCTTGAGTTTCAGTCTCAACAAGATTCTGCACGCAGCTCTGTTCTGCACAACAATGTACCACTTTGAAAGACACAAATCGAAACACATGCCTACACATACAAACACTTGCACAGAAACAGCACAGAGGCACTGATTATGTATGGGAAACTCTGCTTGGGGAGTGTGTAGAAATGCAGTGGCAGCAGAATGGCCCATCTCATTTTGCTAGAGAGAAAAGAGTGTAAAAGTAATGAGAAAAAAGGGGGTGGCGGCACTGAGGGGGGCTAAGTGTGATGGTGCAGAAGCAGCAAAAGCAAGAGGAAAGTCGTATATTGGTCACTGCAGTGCAAAACCAAAAAGATGATGGAGAGCAGAGGCAGTGGGGAGCATAAACACTACAGCTGGGGTAATTAAAGACTGTTTACCCTGACAAACTGTCAGGAGCCCATTGATTGGCCCCTGTGCACTGGRACCCTCTGCACCACTATAAATCCCATGGCCATCTTTCTTTCCTTCCTCCTCATCATCACTTTCAACTATGATATCCATAACCCAGCCCACGGAACCTGTCTGAGCTTGCTGTCGACATGGGATAGATGGGTAAAGCTTAGCTGGGGGGCAGTCTATCAAAGCCCAGGGGAAACGACCAAATTGCCCACCCTTCCAGTTCATTAATAGCAAACATGTATTTCACTGCCACTCAGTGYTCCCCTGGCAGACAAATGATCGCCTTAGGTTGGGAGCTCAGCACGGGGAGAGGGGAAAAAAGAGCAGGAAGAAAAACACAGGAATGCTCAGGACTATTTGAGAGCTTGTTTTGCATTCAAAAATAAAATGCCAAAATGAAGGTGATGCACAAACCAAGACAAGCAGAGCAGCAAACATATGAAAAACATTTAAAATCATATATAATCAAAATAAAACCAAGAGTATTAAAGACCTGGTAAATTCTTGAGAATTACAAGTATTTTATTGACATTTATTTAAGCTGACAAGTCCCATTTTCTATTTTTCCAAGGAAGAACTGGCCCTGAGGGTAACCTGTTGTACATGTTTTGGGTGATTTTATCACATCTGTAATTTTAACAAGTCACCACATGTCTCTTGCAATGACTGTGCTTTGCATCTGGTTTTTAAGGCCGGCAACAGACAGCAATGCACTTGTATGTTTACAGTTAGTCAAATTATGTTAATTGATAGGAAGTTCTTCAGTGTAGCCTAAACAAATAACCCTCCGCTAATTATGGTTTAAATTATTTTAAAMCACAGATCTAGCCCCCTGTAGGTTAAAGCATCTTGGGAGCATTTACATTTGTGCTCTCATCACGAAGAATTGGACCACCACGGGTAGATACTGCCAGTTGTGAGCAAAGCTGTAGTGTGATTCTTACCTTTGATGACACAATCCTGTTGTCACAGAACTTGGGTGGTGTGAAAGTCTCACTGACAGGAAAAGACTGATGGCCAATGTAGATTGTCCTGTTGTCCACTCGTCTCTCATCACCACCGAACTACAGGAGGAAGCGTAGGGTGGGGGCAAGGATAAACATGGAAAAAAAATCAAATCTCCATTTTTAAATCTACAAACACATTCATTATTTGAAACAAAGACAAAGAACAGTGGTTTGTGGGGTGTAAAAGAGGTTTTGTGAAGGAACTTGAGGCCTGTATTACATACTGTGAACTAAGAATTTCTGTGTAAAAACGAAAGTTGCAAAAACGTAAGAATCATTCTCCTCTACTGAAAGACTATAAGCTGCATGAGCCAATATTTCAGCCAAGGGACGGGGAAAGTATGACATGGGTCAGTGGGCCAAATTGCTGTTAGTGTGGATGCTTTAACCTAATTTAATTCCTCACAGATGGTCATTTATCAATGTGACCAAATAATAAATGCAAGCTGCCGAAAAGCTGTGCTCAGATTTATGGGTCGAGTTTCTTTGTTGTGAATGCTTTGTGATGTGTGTATCATGTGCAGATACACTACCATAACTACGTACTTCAAGGAGCTACAGACAAACTCTGCTCCTCCTTAAAATGCAGTAGCTCTGCAAGATTTTTCTATAAAAGGCAGGCCGAATGAATCGTAGAACAAGACACGTGAGCTGAATTCATCAGATACAAATCTCTCCAACAGTTGCATGTTGTATATATTACAAAGTCTGGCTCCACTCTTCTCTTGTAGGGCTGTGTATTGGCAAGAATTTGGTGATACGATTCATATCACGACAGAGGGGTCATGATACGATATATCCCGATATATTGCGATACTGTAAACAAGGCGATATATCGCGATATATTGCGATTTTTTTGTCCAAAAATTCTATTAAATAAAAACCTCTTACAGGGAAAAAAAATGAAAAACCAAAATTCATTGTCTCAGAAAATTCTAATATTACATAGACATACTTTTGATACATTTAGCTATGTTCTGCTTTGTATGTGTTTTATTTTATTTGTTTAATATTTCTTCCATGTTTTCAATTATTAGACTAAATTTGACAATAAATAGTTTGAAAATATATTTTTTGCAGCTTTTAGTTTTTAATATTAATTTACAATATTGTCACCCAACACTAAACAACCTCTACCTCAAGAGGTAGAGGAGCCAAATGGCTGGCTCACTGCTGCCAACTAGTGGTCAGAGGCTGAACTACAACGTAAAATTTAATGGCTGGCAGGAAAGTTGACATTTTAAACCTWAAAAAAAATCGATGCAGGGCTTTAGAATATCGATACAGTATCGGGAAATGAAATATCGCGATATTTCAGTGTATCAGTGTATATTTTCTTACACCCCTATTCTCTTGATGACTTCAATTTGCTAAACTCCCAAACAAGAAATTCTAGGCTTTAGATGAACAGATACAGAGACTGACAAATGCCAATGTCAGTACAAAATATATTACAGGGTACTGGATATTGGCTTCCATGATCTTTTGAATAAAGTAGTTGGTGGACTGGTAAAACAACACAGATTTCCAGTAAAAGGTCCAAGTCAAAGAGAGAAAAAGAAACAAGATGATGCATGTTTTTTTAATCAAATTGTATTAATGCATACTTGGTTACATTTTGTAAATGGTAAAAATATTTTAGTCTTTTCTCATTTGTCTATGCAATTCATTTAACTAATTAAAAAGAACAATAAACTACTATAAAAATATTACTGTGATGCAAACTACGATTGGAATCTTGAACCTCACTCATGCTGGCAACTATTTAATAATTAATATCATGCACTTTTACAAGATGTGTCATCTTTAAACTTAAAAAAAGCTAAGAATAAAGTCTTATTTCAAATGATAATGATGACTAAATAAGTAAATGTTTGATCAGACCGACTGTTATGGAAGAATGACAGAATCACTTTCAACAGGATGAGATTGTTCATGTTGCAAACAATGTCCTGTTCTCAGGCATCAATCAAAAACACTATTCAAATAGRAATTTCAAACACATTTTAAAAATGCAGTTGTGTTCTGAAATCATGTACAAGTTGTTCAGTATGGTGATTACTGTGCTGGTAAATTATTAAGATCATCGTGCTGGCAGGGAAWTTGTTGCACCTAATATAAAAACCAGCAGCATGTGGGTTGAGAGGACAAATTATCATGAACATCTGATTCTGGACACATGCCAGGGAAYGTGTAAAGTCTGGCCACCTGGACAGCAAGCTGCACAAAGCCTGTTTTTGACAAGAGGTTAAATCAAAGGATATCATCCAACTCCGTGCAGAATAATTTATGCTGGACAATGACAGTCAATTTGATTCCAGTCAGAAGTCACACATTCGTAACACTAGCAAAAAAAAAAAAAAACCCACAAAAAAAGTCTTGGTGCTAATTCCAAAACACTTCCCATCTTCTCAGACAAGAGCAATCACAGTTACATAATACTCCCTCATCTTCACACCTCAGCATGGATGTCACCTTTGCCATCCAACTAAGCATACTACAACTCTGAGCAGAACCGGATGGAACTGGCTGCCAGAAAAAGATGAGAGAAACAAATCAGTAGGTAMGAAGAGTGTGAGAGAAAAGGAAGTGAAACATAATCAGACAACTCRAGCATATTCAGGGTTTCTGAGTCAACTGTCAACCATGGTCCCAGACCAATAAAAAACAGGAGCACACTGATGTACTCTTAGAAGTGATTCCAAACAGATACTAGGCCCACTATCCCTTACAAAACTGATATTAGGGAATGGAAGAAACATGCACTATGCAAAGTTGTGTGGCCAAAACTTTAAACTTGAGCTAAAGCACAATCTGTAAATTAAATTATCCAGTCAAAGTATATGCAAAGCCCTTTTGYAGGCACTCAGATGTTACAGGACAGAGTGAACAGCATTTACTGACACAACTGTCAATCTTTCACTAAATCAAGGGTGTACAATCCTTGTCTCGGGGGTCACTATCCTGCACGTTTTACTTATTTATCTGATTCAATGAATGAATTACCTTTTCAAGTTCCACGGAAGCTTGGTAATCACCCATCCATTCAAATCAGGCACGTTAGAGAAGGCATAGAAGTAAAACATGCAGGATAGGGTAGGCCTGGGCGATTATTTGATCGTGATTGTTGACTTGAGAAAAATTTCAGGTTGATTACGGTGATCAGCTGTGAGCCTCTTTACTCCATCAAACAAGGCAGAAATGTGTGTGACAACAGCCAATCAGAATCCACATTCTCCTGCTCCATTTCCATTTATAAGTTGCTAAGGAAACACGGATGGAATCGCGGAATTGACCAAACAAAACGTAATCCAGCATAAAATGTTGAATCTTACAGAATCCACCTATTTGGGTGAGTTTCTGGGGTATTTTGTCCACTGCCGCTCCCTGTACCTGCCGTTACCTGCTAACAGGCATGCAGGATGAGTTCCCTGAGCTCCCCTCCCAACMCAAAGAGAGAGAGAAAAAATTTAATGTGAACCGCGATGTGCAGCAAAACAGATTAGCTAAAACAGAAATGTCCTTCAAAAATACAAAGCTATAGTAACGTTTAGGACAGAACAATGTCCCAGCGGTTCTTTATTTATCTGGAGAAGAACTTYTCAGTAAGTTTTGTCAGCACACGATGGGCTGGACGCTGTGAAGACCACTTCCTGTCTGAGTCACATCACAAAGAGAGGAGCAGCGAGCTGAGAGACACGCTGCAAAATCCTGAACACTCAGAGGTGAGGTGGGAGTTTATCTGCGATTTTGCTGTGTGTGCAGAATCAGATATTCCTTTAGAAAATATGAAAAAAGCTTTGTCCATTGTTTGATAAAGTAATGTAAACAGGAGGAGGCGCAAACAGGAGGAGGCGCAGGGGGTGTGGGTTCCTTCCAATACTGAGTATCATTTTTATTCTTTTTTTCTACAGCTTTTTATTTGTTAAATTATTTTTCAGTCACTTTATAATTACACACATTTTAGGTTAATAAAAAAAATTGTGATAATAATAGASATGTGAAAAAAAATTGTAATATGTTTTTGTTTGCCACATCGCCCAGGCCTAGGATAGGGGCCTTTAAGACCAGGATAGGACATGTCTACACTAAACCTTTTTCTTTTTTACTGATAAAACAAGATTAGTGACAAATGAACAATGCCATTTAGGTAACAACAGATATTGGAGAACAGTTTCCCTTTTTTATAAGAAAAGCAGACAAACATATCAAGCATAATCCAACAGAATAACATTTAAAATTTAGAACATTAAATTTCTAATGTATATATCCTAGACATTATAAACATTCTTGTAATAATGGTTTTGTTTAGGATTGGACAATATTAGCAAATCTTGCGATGGCAATAATATTTGTAAATATTGCAAAGACTATACCTGGTGCGCTATATYGTATGCCTTTTTTTTCTTTCCTCCCTTTTCAATCTGTACTTCCTACTCTGTGTCCTTCAGCATTTTTGACAATGTCATTTGTGTCTGAAAAATACAACTTCAAAACTCTTCAAATATATTAGTCAACAATTATTGCATTCCAAGCAGGCCTGTGCGATATGAAAATTGTGGACAATGTTATTGCATTGACGATATACAGGTGCTGGTCATAAAATTAGAATATCATGAAAAAGTAGATTTATTTCAGTAATTCCATTTAARAAGTGAAACTTGTATATTATATTCATACATTACATACAAACTCATATATTTCAAATGTTTATTTCGTTTAATTTTGATGATTACAAATGACAACAAATGAAAATCTCAAATTCAGCATATCAGAAAATTAGAATCTTGTGAAAAGGTTCAAAATGGATGGCACCTGGTACCACACTCTAATCAGCTAATTAACTCAAACCACCTGCAAAGGCCTTTAAATGGTCTTTCAGTCTAGTTCTATAGGCTACACAATCATGGGGAAGACTGCTGACTTGACAGTTGTCCAAAAGACGACCATCGACACCTTGCACAAGGAGGGCAAGGCACAAAAGGTCATCGCTAAAGAGGCTGGCTGTTCACAGAGCTCTGTGTCCAAGCACATTAATAGAGAGGCGAAGGGAAGGA